AAGATTAGTAAGATTTTCCTTGCTATTTTTAGTCGATTCACCGGTTATCGATCTTGTTACGATTAATGTTCTATTAATCATAACAAATCATCTGATTGAAATAGAGATAGAGCGGCATCATATCATCATAATTGGTCATCTTCTAGTCTGGTCACACTATGAATCTTATGATTAATGACTTAATTCTGCTAGATCGGTTGTTTTATCTCTATTCCAATCAAGCATAGTACGCATTCAAAGACATGTTTCGATCTTGGATAAATTCACTAGTTAATGAGATCTAATCTAATGACACTACCATAGCTGCATTGATCGGTCGAACCTCACTGGTAAGACTTTAAATTAGAGATCATCGATTAGTGGTTTTGTTCGTGATCGAGGTATGTACTATGTTTGTTTGCTATGCATGCATCGGCTATTTTAGTCTATTCGCCTGCGCTTTTACAGATATGGCACGCTCTCATGAACCTATTGACATATAGTCGGTTTTATGGATTTTCTGGTTTTAGATTATTGTCATCATCATAGTTGCATCGATCCGGTTGAACCTCACTATTGGTGGTAATAAATTAGATCTAGACAGTTAGTAGATCCTTTTATATTAAATAATCGATTGTTTGCATGGTATATCCCTTTTACCGAATTCATTGGCTTTGCACCATGCATTGATTAAATATGATCTAGCCAATGATGTATCTCTAACACGTACATATTGATAGCTTAAGATAAAGGATCATTAAAAACTAGGTGCATTGTGCTCGTTATTATAAATCAATCATGACCCGTGAGCATCACGGTCCTTAACTATTGATTTCTTCTCGTATTGGCTATTTAGTCGATTTTCCGTTTGGCTACTCCTAAAGCGGCACACTTGGAACTATCTAGGCAAAGCGGCATGTTCCACTCTAAATTACTGATAAATTTTATCTCCTTATCAATTGCAGGTCAAATTGACTGGTAGGCCTTCGGGATTCACAGGATCGACTAGTCCTGTGATTGAAGCCAAGCAGATCTCCAGATCATTCTGGCTTGTTGTGTGTCCCTTGGCGCGTCTACCACATTTTTGCACCGACAGGAACCGTGAGAACCGACTGATGACCAGTGCCAGCTTGTCATCCCCAAGGGCCTCCAACCGCTCCTCTATGATAGACACCAAACAAGACAAGGAAAACGACATCTGTGAAAGGTTAGCTGAAGAACTTGAGCCGTTACCTGAGACTAAAGCCATAGTCGGTGCAGAGGGGTTCTTGATCTTGGCTTGGGTCTAGTAATCAATCTCGATGGACTTGAGCTTGCTGAAAAGCTCATCCACGGTGAGAGTGTCGTAATTCGTGGACTCAATGATAGTGGACACCTTCACATCCCAAACCTTCCGATCTAGGGCATATAGTAACTTGAGAGCCCTCTCATGATCATCATAAGGTAGCTGCGGCTTGTTTGCCCGCATTTTGTTCATAATCATCTGAAAGCGAGAGAACATGGCATCGATAGACTCTCCATCCAACTGAGAGAAGTTTTCATACTCTCGCTTGTACGTCTCAAAGAGTCTAGTTTTGACCTATGCGGTTCCCTCGTGATAGCTTTGAAACCTCACCCAGATCTCTCGAGCAGTTGTACAATCAGAGACTCTCAAACTCAGAAAGCGAAAGACTCGAAAAGAGAACACTACGTGCCTTGCTATTTGCGTTGTGTTGATCAATTTGATCCTGAGTGTTGCGAGCATCAAACACAACGTAATTAGCATTCTCACAAATCTCCCAAACTTTCCAATAAATCCCTTGAAGATGTGCCGACATGCGAATCATCCAATAAGGGTAATTTGTTCCATTGAAGAATGACGATTTGCTGAAACCACGCTCCATGTCGCCTTCATGGATCATGGGCCAATTAAGGTGGAATGATCCTTAACCGGCTCCGATACCAATTGAAGGACCAAAAACGGCGACCAGAGGGGGGTGAATGGGAGCCGTAAATTTGTTTTGAAACTTTTCGACCACTATCCCAAACTCACCGCCAAACACACAAACCAAACACCATAATGCCCACGGCCCAAATGATTGGGTGGATGCTCCCTAGGAACACAGCGGGACAGCACAAAGCCAACGCAACAAACAAAAAACGAATCGGAGCTCAAACGAACAAACTGCGGAAGAAACAGCACACTAGCAACTCACACCAGACCTGTCCGAGAAGTGTACCGGACATGTCCGGTAAACAAGACCTCAAAAAACCTGTTGAACTAAGCATAGTCAGTAAATACCGGACATGTCCGGTATGAATGCCTACCAGTCACGTCTGGTATGCTGAACAACATAGAGCGACTTTGGGAGAAAAATAAAAAACCCTAGCAAATGGTGTCCAAAAATTATTAAATTCTCACCACAGCTTCTAGACACCTTGAGGTAGGTGTCCACCAAATTTCAGCTCCTAACTCAAAAGTTTGACCTACCGGACACGTCCGACATTCATACCGAACGTGTCTGGTATTTATGAGCAATTCTCATGAAAAAACGATTCAAGACCCAAAACTTGATCAAATCAACTCGGAATAACTTGACACTTTGTAGAGAGGATCACCATAGAGTTGATAGGCTACTCCTAGAAGATCATCGCCCAAGACAAAGCCAATCAATGGAAAAACAAGAAAATACGACAAACCCTAGTTTTTCACCCCTAGAACTTGATTCGTCCCGATCTATGAACTCGTGAGGAATTAGATGAAATCCTTTGGTGGAAGGGATCAACTCACATCCTAGTTCATCTTAGATAAAAAAGAATGAGTCAAAACGCTCTTAAAATGACGAATTGAGCCAAGAAAGAAAGGGGAAAAACAAGAACTCAAAGAACACAAACGTGAATCACAAAAGCACCTCACAAATCGAATCCCGGAGGACACGAGGAGGTTAGGGCCTCCATTCCCAACCAAAATCATAGGTTCAATTACACCGGGACACTAGTTCATTGGTGGACCTCTTGAGAAGAACCTAGAGAGGGGGGAAACCTAAGGTGGAGAAATGAAATGGCAAGAGGTGATGGGTATTGGGGTTCCCTTATCCTTATTTAACAGGGCTATTACACAATCCCAAACATGTCCTTAGATATTTTAGTCGAACATCTTAACCGGAGGGCGTTATGGTCCAACCCGTAGTAGTCTTCATCCGACGGCCACCGCGCCCTTCATGAGATAGCTTCGCCCCGTCCGTTCCTCCTCGGAACCTCCGCCCGGGTTTTGAGGCCAAACTCGCGAAACCGTCACCGGTGGTTTTGAGACTCAGCCCACCAAACCGCCGTGAGTTGCGTACTCCATACGCATCCCCCGCCACTCAACATGTGTCACCGCCGTCTTTGACCGCTCGGCGCCAAGTCTTCCAGAGCCTCCGCTCGACTTGCTCGACCGCCGTCTTGACTCGATCAACACGGTCACACCCATGTGCACTTGCGCTTGTTGATGTGCCCAAATGTCAGCCAACGCGGCTGGTCACCTAGCCTCCTGGTCCCTCGGTCCAAGCCTCATGTCCATCCTTCATCACTCCCGGTCCATCGGCATGGCACGTCCCTACTTGACCTTCACGTCACCATCGACCACCACCTCCGAGCTCCACACCTGCGCAAGACAAGCCAAGAGACATGTTGCACAACCAAACTCACGCCATGGTTAGTTCACAAACTCAACCCAAGACACGAATCACGTTGACAATCACTCATCACAAATCCGAACCACAAGGGCACATATCAACCTTGTGTTTGCAGTTATTACTCTCTTTTATTTCTAGTAAAAAATTCCAATACGAGTCAGACCCCTCATGTTTCCCTAAAGAAAATAAAGCAGCTGTCTAGGGGGAGAGGCTTCTCCGGATAAGATTCACCCTGCCAACATTTTCCAAAGAAAAAAAGACCATATCGCATTTTTGTCCCCCACCTGTCCACGCCTTCTCTTTGTCTTCTTCCCTGCAACCATGCTGTCCCCGCCCCCATCACACCACCAGCCTTCGACGCCAGCAAGGACCACCATTCTCCCCTCCTCCTCCCTCACCATTACTCGCTCAGATTTGACTCCCCGGTTCCGATAGTGCCACCGCCACCCAACCTTAAGCTACCACCCTGCTACCGTCGTCACTACTAAATGTTATAGTGACAATGGCGAGGACCTCCTTTACCTTCCATTCCTCCACCATCGTTACTTCCGATTTGGCTGCTCCATCGCTATTGGATCTGCCGCTTTCTTCCATAATCACCGCCACTAATGCCATCGGATCCAATGCCATCATCACTGACACTCCCAACTGGCCTCCAACTGTACCACACTGGTGGTGGCACCACTGCTGTCGTCTACCCTTTCGCCGACACACCATCACCGCCGCCGGTCCGGCCATCTCCCCTAGGCATCCCTTTAGACTTGGAAGCTACTGATTCCCGATCCCTCCCTAACCCTAAACCTCTAAACCCTAACCCTTAACTGAGCTCGCTAGAGCTCCATTCTTCACCGGAGAAGACGAGATGATCACTGGAGAAGAACTATTGGAGCCATCAATGTTTTTGATGGTCCATCAGATTTGATTTCCTACTTATTTCTTTCCTCCTCTTCGTCCTATTTTCTTTCATTTTATGTATCATCTTGATTCCGACAGTGATATTGATTTCCAGGGGGGGGGGCTCAATTTAAGGTACCGGGATGCTTCTCCATTTAGCCTTTAGGAAAAAAATTGTAGCTCCGATGAAAGAAGACAATATTTGGGGGTCAATTTAAGGTACTGGGATGCTTCTCCATTTAGCCTTTAGGAAAAAAAATTGTAACTCCAATGAAAGAAGACAATATTTGGGGGAAAACCTACAAACTAAAAAGAGAGTACACATTTTTCACACTACTGTTTTTTATATCCTTCAACAGAGGGAAAAATCAATGAATGTATATCTACAAAAAATCACTAGCTAGAGGATCGGTGAAGAACATCCACCAAATAATTGGTAATCTCTTAAGTTAAATGACGATTCAGTAGTTACTATACATCTTCTGTGAAAGCCCTATAAATGAAGTCTCTAAATCTCTTGCAGTATTGCTTTGGGTCAACAGCCGATATGGAATTCGGATCGTATTGCATGGCTTTGTAAGCATGCTCAAGTTTTTTACTGATATCGTAGTCTTGTAGGATATCAATGATTCCGAAAAATAGTATGACATCCTGGATTTCGCCAGTAAGATCACCCAGGAGCAAAGATTCACCGTCTGTATTCTTCAATACAGTCTCCACCCTTGAGTGCATGCAAATCCCTAGTTTTAATGGTGATTTTCTACAAAAATGTCACAATTAATTTGTTAGTTCTTAGAGGTCAATGTAAATGCAAATGTTGAAGTTGTTGCATGAATTAAGCAAGCTAAGCCGAAGAGATGAGCTTGCATATATAAAATGTGTTGGAATTAAGCGCTTCATTAATTACAAATCGAAAGCTTGTTGTAGTATTTTAGCTACTTCCAATCTTTTGATCATATAATATTTTAAAGAATATAATGAATATACTGTGTATGTTGTCATCATATTTATGTACATACAGAAGAATGTCGTACTCCCTCCATTACAAATTATGGGTTGTTTTTTTTACTTTTCTATGAACATATATCTATTTAGATATGTCTACTTAGACAAAAACAACCTATAATTTGAGACGGAGGGAGTGTTTCATTGAATGTAATGCATTTGATGAAAAATGTACAACAGTTGTGCCTTTAATTGCTTCAGATAAGATTAAACTTGGTATCAAATTTTGTCTATTGCAAAAATGTGATTAATGTAATGCATTTGGATCTACCTATTTTGTTCAGAATCTTCAGCGGTAATATCAGGGGTCCCATTCTCCGAATTGCTGCTGTCTGTAACCAAAACAGAGTTTTTTTAGCATAATAATTCCATATGTATATTTACAGTATTATTGCAACTGCAATTATGTTAAAGCACTAAAGCAAGCATGTATAAAGGAACCTATCTTTGCATCTGTCCTTGAAGTGAATTCCAACCAAAAGACTATAGTCCATGATCCTCTCCTGCTCCAGTAATTCACAATCTTTGTCCAACTGCCTGGAAAGAGATACACATTAAGAGAACTAGGGATGGTTGGGTTTCTTCAAAAATTCATTTGTCAGATTAGCACTAGCAGCACACCCAAACATTCTTTTAGATGAGATTAATTTGCACATATGTTACTATTGCTAAAATGTACTCAGTGGAGGAAGGGAAATATAACATCTGGTAGAATTAGGCAGATGCGATGTGTGCACCTGCAGAATTCTTGAAACCAAGATCCTTGCAGACGGAAAATGAAATTGAGGTCAAGATCCTTCAACGTGGTATGCTCATTGATCTGATCAATTGGTTTATCAGTCATTCGACCTTGTGAGGATCCTTTCAAATCGAAGCGCCTATGGATTGCATAGTTGGTGCAGAAAAGATTCCCCATTATAACAAAGCGAACCTGTGTTTCATGGTTACAAATGTTGAGAGATTCTCAATTTACTTTGAGTATCTGATCAGTTTCATTCTCATTGCATGCAGCTAACCTTTTTCTGAATAGCCGCTCCTGTAAGTTTAACAGAGTGCAGACCAAAAAATTTAGTTATCAGAGTATTTTCAAAAGCACGAACATGTTTATAGTAGGATGGAAGCATCCTAAGAAGCACCTGTTCACATAAAAGAACAAATTTGATCACATAACTTGTTAGCCAAAGGTGAGAACCAAAGAAAACCGAACTTACTTTTACTTCTGACTGCTTCATTGTTTTGATCATGTACTTGTCATCATTCGTTAGGTAAAAGAAACATCCACTTTTTCCTGGAGACGAAATCTCCCTGAGTGCCTCATCCCCACAGATGGAGTTCATGTAATCCACAGGGTTGACACCGAAGAGCTTGCACAAAGTCCTGGAACAGTGTACATAAGAACAAATTAGCTTCACATCAGAGACTTGAAAACCAACTACTAATAATACAGGAAAGAACAAGAAAATTAGCATCACCAAGGCATGTGTTTCGTATATATGTAGGCTATAAACAAGAACAATAGAAGAGACCTGAAAACCAGTGGGCAGTAGTCCTTCCACCGAAAATCGCATGATTGGTGAGGAGGAGTATGCTTTGATCCTTCAGGAGGAAATCTTGTCCACACCTTCTCTTTTGGATCAAATGCTGATGGTTTAAGATCCAGCGATGTAGGTGCTGAGTGCCTTCCAACAGTATGCCTGTGTTCCAAAGCTAAGAACATGAATGAATTACGATTGACAACTTCAATTCAATTTCAATCAGATTCAAAATGAAGGAGCAATGCATCAGTCAGAAAAATAAATAGCAATCAGATCAAATGGGCGGCAAAGCACAATGGATGGCATAACATTTGCCAGGGAAAGAAGCAGAGGAGAACACACACCTTATGCCAAGTTGCAGGTTGAGCACGAGCTCATAGTTCCTGTGCCCCTTGGATATCGTCTCCCCCTGCTTCTTCCCCGGCCTCGGCGGCGGCGTGGGCATGCATGACGAGGACAGCAGGTATGACCACCTGTCCATCTGCGCCTCCTTGCCGGCGTCACCCTCAGCCAGCGCCAGACTGTCCATGTCCAAGGACGCGCTGCTCCCCCTGCTCAAGCTGGACCTCCTCCCATGGTCAGCGTCGGCGTCAGCAGCGGGGGCGCTCACCTTGCTCACCTTGGGCGGTCGCTGCACCGGCTTCTTCTGCACGGCCTCCACCCCTGGCCACGTGACTATCTTGTTCGACGGCATCAGCGACGCCGTCTTGCCCTCGCACACATCGAGCTCCTGGATCAGCGTGGTGATAGGCTCGCATGGCTCCCGGGGCATGGGCACCGCGGGGCCACCGGACGGCGGGTAGTAGAGGCCGTCGGCGCGCACCGCGCCTGCCGCATCCTCCAGCTCCCACCGCCAGGTGCCGATGTACATGCCGCCGCCGTCCAAGCGGAACGTGCCCTGGCCCCTGGGCCTGGCGCCCTCCCACGCGCCGTCGTAGCGGTCGCCGTCGGCCCAGATGACGGTGCCGCAGCCGTGCATGTCGCCGGCCCTCCAGGCGCCGATGTACTCGTGGCCGTGGCGCCAGATGTACCGCCCGTGGCCGTCCTGCAGACCCTCGCTCCAGTGGCCGTCGTAAACGTCCCCGTTGGCGTACGCCTGCGTGCCGCGGCCGTGGCGGAGGTTCCCCGCCCAGAGCCCCGCGAAGGCGTCCCCGAGCTCGCCGATGAAGGTGCCCTGGCCGTGCATGTACCCGCCGTGGAAGTCGCCCTCGTAGGTGGCGCCGGACGGCCAGGAGAGATTGCCGTGCCCGGAGGCGCGGCCGCGGCGCCAGGAGCCCTCGTATATGCTGCCGTCGGTCGAGAGGAACTTACCCGTGCCGTGCGGGAGGTCCCCGCGCAGGTCGCCCTCGTAGAAGTCCCCGCTGGCAAGTGGCTGCTCGGCGTGGGTGGGCTCGCCGAGCCCGGCGGCGTCGTCGTCGTCGTCATTGGCGCCGCCCTCGGTACTGCTGCCGTCGTCGCCGCCGTCGCAGTCGCCGTCACCGTCGTACTGGTAAATGGTTTTGGACGTCGACGCCGAGGGGGAGAAGCTGGGCGTGACGGCGTCGGCGGTGTCTACGACGGGGCCGCCGCCCGACGACGCGGCCGCGGGCACGACGGCGCCGACGCGGCGGATGTTTTGGAGCTTGCGGATGCCCGCGTCCCACAGCCGGCTGGCCGGCACGGGGAGCTGCTTCATCTTCCTCGCCGCCGACGTCGACATCGCCATTGTTGTTTAGGGACGTGCCGGGAACGAGTGGATTGATGGTCAGCGACACGACGGGGCCGGAGCGAGCCTGTGCCTGTGCATGGTGGTGGCGCAGGATCAGGAGCTGGAGCGGCAGGGCCATGGTGTCTTGGTGGTTGAAAGACTGGGAGGAGTTGTCGGGGTGGCAAGCCTGGCTGTGGAGGACACCATTTCGTACCTATTCTAGTGATGTATCAGATATAATAACGCTTTCTCTTACATTTTAAGTGCCTAAATTTTAAGATGGTTTCAGCCAACACTCACCGATTAGTACAAGTAATTTGTTACTTTTGTAATTTGTTATTTGTCTTTATATCATAACGATTACTGTAAATTGTTGATTGTTTTTGTGCCAACACAAATAAGATTTTATCAGGTTTATGGTTTTGTCCAATGGATTCTTTATTCTCGAAATTGAAAATTATAGATGGTGTCTACAGAGATTGCAACGAACTAAAGCTATAATTTTAATATAAAATATATGTAATAATCGTCAAAAGAAAACTAAAATTCAGACACATCAATTTTAACATCATATATTATATTTTCTAGCCAATGTGAACGTCCACATACCATTATGTACAGCCCACATTCCATGGCTGCTTTTCCAAAAGCTACAGCTCAATCAAGGCCTTGTTTAGTTGGCGATTTTTTTTGGGAAATGGTACTATAGCACTTTCGTGGTTATTTGGCAATTAGTATCCAATCATAGTCTAATTAAGCTTAAAAGATTCGTCTCGTGAATTTCGTCTAAACTGTGTAATTAATTTTATTTTTTATTTATATTTAATGCTTCATGCATGCGTCCAAAGATTCGATGTGACGGGAAATCTTGAAAAAATTTGCAAAATTTTGGGAACTAAACACGCACCAAATAAGGCCTGAGTCACTACAGCAGTTTGGATTAAGTTAAACATCACACAAAGCTTTGTTGCGTAGTATGTGGGAAATGCAGTGCAACAGTGGCAGCAACACGATTCAGTACAGTAACTGAATGCTATACCAACAATCACTTCATAATCGGAACAAGGTGTTACCAAATCACACATGAAACCTATGCCTTTTCTTTTACAAACTTTTTGAGGAGCCATTTCGAAAATTTTGATGGTGCTGTTCTTAGTATTATACCAGAAAAAAAATCCTTTACACGCCCCACTACATCATATAACAATCTAGGGCCCCCTTTGGAACGACGGAATTCTACAGGAATTGTACATGGATTGGTTCATTTTTACAGGAAATGCAAAAAATTTCCGACGACATCGCCAGGATGAAGCAAGCATTCAGATGTACCTAACCCGAGTTTTGACAGTTTCAGCCTTCCATTACAGAGTCAGACATTTGCCTACCACCAGTGGTATCTACAGCTTTCGCCTTTTGCATACTTCACAAGAGTGGCTCCCAGGTTTAGAGTTGGGGGCAGAAAATAGCGATCCACATATGGAAAAGCATTCTCACCATTTTTAGAATGAAATAAATTTAGGGAGCAATGAAGATAATGTATCGAGTGAATTAACGCAACAAATGAGGTGTTTAGCACACTCTGAAATCATGAACTGCATGCATGATTTGAGGTATAAGGTCTCCGTTTCTCTAATTTCAGTATCATCAAATATTATAGATACAAACAGAAGAATGAAAACTCCCTAGGTTTCAGTCGTAATATGGAAATTTCAGCAGAAGAATTGGGATTCCCTAGTCTTAATTGAACAAATGATTAAAGGACAATTACATAAGAATCACATCACAATCTATAAGATAGTATCCTAATGTTTCCAAAATGTTACAATATCAGAAAGAGACAAGCTTGCAGAAATATTTTGAGCAATAGAATCAACACGAACCCAATTTTTAGTTATCCTAGTGGCTATATGCTTATGCAGCTATGCTAAAGAACAATGCATCCTAAACTAAGTAAACAGACCATCTATATGCCTGAGGAAAATCAGACCTTCACTGCTGGAGTCTGGAGATGGTGGATTGGTGATAGATTCCAAGGCAAGAAATTCCCCACAGCACCATGAGCAAGCGCCAATCCGTGGCACCTTGAGTCAAATCAGTGCAGCATTCCTCTGCATCTCCTCCTCCCTCTTGAGTTCCGTCTTCTTCCTCATCTTCACTCTCGGCTTCACCGTCCGGTGCTGCAAATGCTCGGTCTGGAAGGCGACCATGGCCCGGAGCACACCGAGCATGGTCTCCTCAACCATGGCGCCGTTCCCATCCGGCTCCAGCAGCCGCAGCGCCCTCGCGACGGCCTCCATAGTGCTCACACACCCCTTGCGCGGCTCCTTACTGACCACGAGGTCGGACTCGAACATGCTGTCCCCGTCGGCGCAGCTGTCGACGGGGAGGGCGACGGGGACCACGCCCAGAGACGAGAGGACGGGCAGGCTGGCCGCGTGCATCTCCCTGGCCTGCCTCCAGGTGCCGTCGAGGAGGAGGAGGGTGGGGGCGGCGCGCGCGGGCCGCGGCGTGGACCGGCACCAGGAGGCGAGGTCGGAGGCGGCGGGCGAGGGGTAGAACAGGAGGACGGGGCCTGGGGTGGGAGCGGGAGGGATGGAGGAGGGGAGGAGGCGGCGGCCCGGGACGAGGCGGAGGTTGGAGAGGGACCGCGCCAGGAGGGGCAGCGTCGAGAGCGGGTTCCGGCGGAGTGCGTGCGGGTGGTGGAGGATGACGACGGTCGTGGAGGTCGGGATAGGGGAGGGAGGGAGGTACGGGCAGAGGCAGACGCAGGACGGGCGGCCGCAGCCGGCGTGGCAGATGGAGCGGCCAGGCGAGGAGGAGGCGAGGGCGGCGGCGGCGGCGCCATCGCCGTCGTCGGAGGGGACTGGGTCGAAATCGTCCATCGGGCCCACTGGTCAGTTGCTGGAAGGATGGATACTTCTCCTTTGCTTTTGTTTCCTAACCGATAGTACTCCGTAGTAAGGTATAGCCCACGGCCTGGCCCGTTAGGCCTATCTAAGCTTAGCAAGATTACTAGGCCTGGGCCGAATGTTTTGAAGGCCCGTTCCGAAATCGGTACGAAAGGTAGATTTGCTCACGGCCATTTTTTTGTGTCAAATAAAATCCAGTAATTTGACGACATCACTCGTGACAACAATAGCGTGGATAGCATCTGATGGTTCTTTTTTTAAAACACACACATAAGCGCACTCACAATTAATTTGACGATATCACTCCTCGTCCTAAAAAGAACGTTAATGAATCGGACAAGCGTGGATAGATTCATAAAAATGGTTCTTTTTTTTAGGATGGAGGGACACACATAGGCACCTGACGCTGAGAGATGGAGCTTGTTGGACAGGAACGAAACTTAACCAACTGAGATACATTCAATCCGGCATGACACATTTGATTCAAGACAACATACATAAGTACACATTAATATGTTGCTCTAATATATAAAAATCCACGTGCAATGAACGTGTATACAACCTACAAAAGCACTAAACTTTTCAGGTTAGGTGAAGGTTTTGGGTTGTAATTAAGTTTATATATATTATGCATGTATATATACACGTAACTCATCCCAATTTAGGAGGTGAAAAAGTATATAATGCGACATCTATTGTATTACTGTTTTGGTATCACATACTCCCTCGGTCCCATAAAAAATATCATTCTCTCACTTCTCAAAATTCAAACATGTTTAATTTGATCAATTATATAAAAATATTAATATTTATGGTACATAATTAGTTGCATTCAGTATGCACTAACCAAATACAGATTACTCAACAACACACTTTTAATTTGACACATATGCTAGAATTCAGTCGCCTGAGGTATCAGGCGATGGGTTTTTGGGGGTCCATCTGATATCTTTTGCTATTGAGATGACATAAGCACCAAGATAATCCTTTGCAAAAAAACACAGGGCACCTGTATAAGTAGCAATCCCCTTTATTTGAACATGGTGTCTTTTTCTTCGTATGGTTCCTTGATATATACGACATCATGCGATCCAAGAGCTGGATGAGCAATCATAGACATTGTCAAAACCATAAAAAACTTTTAGACGACTCCGATCCTTAGTGTGATTATTGGATCTTGATCTCTATGTTGTTTTTGTCCAATAGTAGATAACATTACATGCAACTTGGAGTTCTAAATGAAATATTGCACCAATGTTCAACAATGTTGCTTAGGTATGAACGAGCCTACCTCACCAAATGCGTTTATTCGTATATGCACGACGTAGCACAAACAAGAAGATATATATATGCAGGAAAAACAGGAACAACACACACTACCAGCAAGCTATGCAATAAATAAGTGCCTGCCCATTCACCAAGGAAGACCAGCTAGTGAAGTGTACTAATGGCAGCTCCCCTTGCAACAGATGAAGATCACAAGAAACATGGAGATGGTTGTGGTAGCCACTTCCTCGTGGTGGCCTACAGCATGCAAGGCCACGTCAACCCTGCACGCACGCTCGCGCATCGCCTGGCTCAGACCAGCGGCTGCACGGCCACCCTCTCGATCCCGCTCTCCGGCCACCGCCGCATGTTCCCCTCCTCCTCCGACGAGGAGGCCATCATCAGCGACGGGCTTATCTCCTACCTCCCGTTCTCCGACGGCATAGACGACGGGACCTGGCCCAGCGACTCGGAAGACAGGGCGCGGCGCCATGAAGCCAACTTCAGAACCCTCTCCGCCGTCGTCAGCTGCCTCGCAGCCACAGCCAGTAGCGGCCGGCCGTCGGTGACCTGCGTGGTGTGCACCCTGAGCATTCCGGTGGTCGGCGAGGTCGCCCGCGCGCACGGCCTCCCGCTGGCCATCTACTGGATCCAGCCAGCGACCGTTCTCGCCACGTACTACCACTACTTCCACGGCCACGACGAGCTCCTCCGCCTCCTCGCCGCCGCCGGCCAGCATGAGACAAGCGGAAACCTGAGGTGCGACGATGAGGTCACTCTTCCAGGCATGCTACGCCCTCTTAGAACCCGCGACATGCCGAGCTTCTTCTTCACCGGGAAGACGAAGGACGGCCTGTCCAAGATGGTGCTCCAATTAATGGGCGAGCTGTTTCAGCAGATCGACGAGGAGAAGCCGGTGGTTCTGGCGAACACGTTCGGCGCGCTGGAAGACGTTGCACTGCAAGCACTCCAGCCATACATGGACGTCTTCGCCGTCGGTCCGGCAGTTCCACTTCCATTGAAGAACGATGGAGCAAGCGAATTAGCACAGATCCATCTCTTCCAGCACGACGAGACGGCGGCGTACATGGAGTGGCTGGACGCGCAGCCGGAGAAGTCCGTCGTCTACCTCTCGTTCGGGAGCCTGCTGGGATACACGAGACGGCAAGCCGAGGAGGTCCTCCACGGGCTGCAAGCCGGCGGGCGACCCTACCTGTGGGTGGTGCGCAGGGAGGGCCGCGCCGAGGAGGTGGACGACCTCTGCCTGACGGCGGCAGCGGCGGCGGGGATGGTGGTGGAGTGGTGCGACCAGCAGCGGGTGCTGGCGCACCCGTCGGTGGGGTGCTTCGTGACGCACTGCGGGTGGAACTCGACGCTGGAGGCCGTGGTCTGCGGCGTGCCCATGGTGGCAGTGCCGAGCTGGTCGGACCAGCCCGTGAACGCGTGGCTGGTTGAGGAGTGGGAGGTGGGTGTCAGGGCGGAGCGGGATGGGGAAGGGACGCTGACGGGAGAAGAGCTCGCGAGTTGTGTGGAGCTGGTGATGGGTGGCGGTGACAAGGCAGTGCAGGTGAGGGCGAACGCGAGTGGGCTCAAGGAGAGAGCAAGAGAGGCCGTGGCTGCAGCTGGCCCGTTGGAAAGAAGTCTTCGGAGCTTTGTTAAAAGCACGCAAGGTCTAGGCCGGTCTGGTCCTGGTGGCAACCAAGATTAATGGGAGAATTATTTATCCGGCACCGAAACAAATCAGTCTTTTGTATTTGGCACTTGAAAATTTAAACTTTCCTATTTGACATCAAGTTAAAATTTCTTTTCTTAAATGGCACTGCCATCCATTTTCATCGGTCATACGTTAGTTGACTAGTTTGACCGTGTCAGTTTTTTCTCCCTATGTCCAATATACTCCTCTGCTAGATAAAGACTAAAATTTGGCCGAGCCCCCAGAATCCCAGATTCCGCGACCTTCTTCCCCTTCTTCCCCGGCTCTGTTGTGCCACCGTGCGAGGCTGCCCTGGCTCCACGGCCGGAGCACGAGGAGGCCACCCCGCGGGAGGCCGCCCCCGGCCTCTGCTCGACGAGCCGCGTACCCTTGCTGGGGCCAGCGTCGGCGTGCTCCAAGGCGTGCTCATGTAGGCCATGCTCACCTTTGTGCGGCCATGGCGGAGCGGAGCTCCAGGCGCACGCGCTCGTCGTTGCCATGGCCAGCCGGGGGCGAGGCCGACCACCATTTGCACGACAGCAGCGCCCCCCGGCCCCTGCGAGCGAGACTGGCGGTGGCTCAGCAGCTCGCTCGCGCGCTTGCCCGGCAACAGCGTGGCGGCCTGCTCGCGCGCGCTCGCCGGCCATAGCGCGGCTGCCTTCTCGTCCGGTGGCGGCGCAGTAGCACGCAAGCGCGAGCCTGAGAGTGGGTGAAGAATGGCAGCGGCGTCGCAGGCGAGCAGCTTCTTCTTGGTCTTCTCTGCTCTGCTCTCTCTCTCTCGCTCGCTCGCTCGCTCCGAGCTCGCGCGAAACGACGCCGAGCAGCAGCAGAGCTCCGACCAGCCGTTGCCATTCCGATCTGCGAGCGCCGCCACAATCCCGGCCAAGCTCGCCCCCTTGATCCACCTCGACCTGGAGCTCTGCCCCACCATGGTCGCGCGAGAGGTCCGCCCCGCCATGGCTACGCAGGAGCTCCGGCGAGGCCCCTTCTCGACTGCAATTTTCATGGAGCTCACCTTCTCATCGGCGCCGCCCCGCCTCGACCTCACATCCACGCTTCTAGTCCTGGCGGCGGGCGTCTTTGTAGCGGCACTGACTGTGTCCATGTCCGTGCAAAACTCGTGCTCGGTGTCCAGGCGCGCCAATGGCCACGCGCAGCTGTGGCAGTCGAGCGTGCAGGTGCCTTAGCTGCTGGGGAGCCTGCTGTTCCTGGTCGTCGGCAAGCGCGGAGGTGAGGTCGAGGGGGCAGGGCGGCACGGACGGGAAGGAGAACCACCATTGGTACGAGCAGAGGAAGGGGATGACGAGTGGGGCCTACACGTCAGTGACTAGGATGATGGAAGTAGTTGAGGGCAATATCGTCCATATAAAAATACTTGAATTCCCCATATGCTGCAGCTGGGCCCAAGGGTCCCAAAGACGTATAGCGTGACATTTGTCAAAGAGAGGAAGAATTATAATGGCGCCCTTCAGAATAGGTAAATAGTAATAGTACCTCTCCGAACTTCAAAAATTACAATGGCACCGATCCAGATAACCCAAATAGTAATGGTTTATTTTCAATTCGTAAAAATTGTAATGTCACCAATTCAAATAACCTTTTATGATTTCTTTATTTGACAACATGTTTATTTATTCTTTCCTATTTGGCACCATGGGTTTCTGCTGCAAACGAGGGTATTCATGTCATTTTTCTAGTCACTTGACACCGTTACTGTCCTAAATGGACGATAGTGCCATTTACGAAAGCAAATTTCAACTAAGTGCCAGATAAGAAAGTTCAAATTTTTAAGTGCCAAATACGAAACACTGATTTGTTTCGGTGCCAAATAAATAATTCTCCCTTAATTAATTGCTCTAACCTTCATCTCGCGGTCATATGGATATATTTGACATGATGTACTTTTACGCTTTATTAAGCAGTTAAGCACATCCGATATTTGGTTTAAAGTTTTGTTCAAAGTATATATGGCTCCTATGCTTTATCTACATACTCCTCTGTCCCTGAATAAATAGGATCCTAAAGTTGTCTTATGTCAAATTTTTTAAACTTTGATTGAATTTGTAGAAAAAAAACATCAAAATTTATGATATCAAACTAGTATCATTAGATGTACCATAGAATATATTTTCATAATATGTTTATTTTATATTATAGATGTTGTTACTCTTTTTCTATAAAGTTAGTCAAACTTTTAAAAATTTGACTGGCATGCATTCTAGGAATTGATTTATTTGGGACAAGGTGAGTACCACATTTTATATTTGCATTGGCGCGAGTATCTGCATTTTGAATATATGAACACTCAAAAACGGAAAGTGGCAATTAAGCAGGATTTGGAATAACACCATGTCTCAACGATATATGTGTCGAGACATGGATCACTTGTCAGTGAGACCTGGATGCGTTTTTTTCAAGAAAAAAGTTCTAAATCCTAAAGTTCTACTCCCTCCAATCAAAATTATAGGATATTTTGGCTTTTGTAGATTCCTAGTTTTACTATGTATATATACATAGAAAAGTTAGAACAACCTATATATATATAGAGAGAAAAAAATCTCCAATTATACTATAGAAGCTGATCTGGCTCATTGGCCGTAAATTGCTAGCCAATTTTGAAGATGCAAAGTTTCATATACACCTCAATAAAAAAAAGGCGTAAACGTAATTTTTAGCTTTGTCGGAGAAAATGGAATGCTATTGAGCTCCCATTGCTGACAGCACAGGTCAATGCTATATTCGGGCAAGCACTGCTTGTTACCTTTATTTGGGAACATAACAGAAGAGTGGCTCCGATCTGTGTGATCATGGAGGTTTCTATGGGAACAGAAGAGAAGAGCCCATGTGCGAGGTCACCCATCGATGTGAGTACAGAGAATCGTGCATTGAGGAAACAATGGACAAGTATCCTAATCTCCACGTCTCTTCCCGGAGTCCATGTGTCACGACGAGTAGTAGTCTCATAGTATGGTAAAGCCTCCTGCAAAAGAGTCCATGGCTCAATCCGATGAAAAATGGAGGCACCATTTGGAGTGTGCGTTATAGCAAGGAGAGATTGGTCCAAAGGAAATATTGTGCCATGTCCAAGGGGATAAAAGCTTCACATGGAAGCTCCTTCTTTTCTTGTCCACGCGTCGGAAGCCAATAAACTTGTGAACTTGCATTGATGAAGCCCTTATTTGGCCCTCTCTAATGATATTGTCAAATTGAATCCTGTAACGAGGTGTTAACCACCGAAGAATTGGAGGCCACCCAAAATCCTGTTCTTAGAAAGGAACCGAATCCAAGAAAATGCACAACCAAATTGAGGAGGCAAAATCAAACCCACTGATTTTAGTATTCCTTTGTACCACAAATCAAAGCCACCACTGGAGAGCACACCAATCTCACTTGAGGTCTCCTTTGATGCCATTGCCAACCACCCACACCTATCTCCTTGACCAAGTACTCTTGTATACATATTCGTGTGTAGGTTAAACACGTCTGGAGAGTTTGGTACACCAACACCAAACATTTGTACACCGTCACTCTAGAAATCTTTGCCCTGTTCGTTTCACTTATAAGACGTACTTTTTCAGCCAACGAACAATATTTTTCTCTCACAACAAATTAGCCAACAATACTTTCAGTCATGATTTATCAGCCAAGCGAAGAGGGCAAAGATCCTGCCAATCCGCATCAGCGCGTTGCCCATGGTGTAAGTGAGCTCTTAACGTCACCGTCAGCGCTGACGTGTTTTGTCCACGAAGACGGCTGCGTTGACTTGTTCCTGACAGCTGCCGTGCTGGCATCGTCAACGAAAACGGGTGCTCCAGACTCCATAGTCCAGACTGTGTGGCCATCGCTGCGGCCGAATCTGAGCCGTGCACCTTGGAATGGACGGGGCGGATGCAGCCAACGGCAGCCACCCGTCTCCTCTCCTCTCGGTAAAAAAAAGAGAAAAGAAAAAAAAGAAGAAAGGAGGTGGCGACTGGCGACGCGCTCTTCCTCTTTCCCCAAAGGCAACCATCTCGACTCGAGGGGAAGTTGCTCTCTCGCCGGCGTCGAGGATCATCCGTGCTCTACAGGGGAAGAGGGAAGGAGCAGGAGGAGGAGGCGAAGATGATCGAGGTGGTGCTGAACGACCGGCTGGGGAAGAAGGTGTGGGTGAAGTGCAACGAGGACGACACCATCGGCGACCTCAAGAAGCTGGTGGCGGCGCAGACGGGGGCGCGCCCGAGAAGATCCGCATTCAGAAGTGGTACAACATCTACAAGGACCACATCAACCTCAAGGACTACGAGATCCACGATGGCATGGGCCTCGAGCTCTACTACAACTAGCCACCGCCGCCTCCCTGTTGTCAGGTAACTAGCAGCGACTCGTTTCATCTTGAATTCAAATTCTGCTCTGCTCCCCTCGATTCGGTTCCTGTGTGCCTGGCCGCTGGGAGTAGCTTGTCCGACTGGCCGAGAAAGATTTTGATTCTGGGTGCCGCGCACGTTGATTTCAGTTCGGATGTGTGGAATTCGACACCTTGTCTGACTGCTGACTGATTAGGAGGGAGGGATTCGTTTCGAGGACTGATGATGTATCAATTCGTCTACTAGCTGTCGCTTCCTGGCTTCACAGCTGAGAAGCAGAGGAAATTTGGTAGGGGGCTTCACAGCTGCCAGTTGCATATTCGCATAACCAATTTGAGACTCATTTCTAAGCCCACTGATTATTCATCTATGTGCACCTATGTGAAGCCGAGGCTCAATCAACTAACTTTGAGCTGAGAACGATGTCCAATGCTTGGCTGTCAGTTGAAAAATATCCCAGACATGAAGTTATTTTGCTGGTAGCTTCAGGGTGTTTTCAGATTGGTTTACGAACTTATTAGCACTGTCCAGCTGAAATTTCTTAGGTCATGCAATGCCCATTTTGGTTGTTGGTTTCTTTAACCTGTCCTCTTGTTATGCTCATCACACTTTTGTTGGTGTTTAGATTAGTGGTGTTGTGGTTATAGTTTCGTACAAAAGGGATATATGGTG